GTGAGCGGCGGGGAGAGTCACCCGGCGGGGGAGCAGCTCAGCGGCTGCTCGTCTGGCCATGCCCTCGGCCTGCTGTCTGGCTCTCTCTCCATTTATCTCCTTGTTCATCTCACCGCCCACTTGGCAGCTCTTCCCCTGGGCGCCTTCTATGTGCCAGACACCTGGTCTTCTCTCTCTATCTTCCCGGCCCTCCTCTCTCCTATCGCCCACGACTCTGTCTGCATCTCCTTCTATCTCGTCATCTTCATTCGTACCATCGTTTCTTCCCCATTTCTCTGCCCACACCCCACCTCTCCCTCTCTGTCCGTATTTCTTGCTCATTCATTCATTCATTCATTCATTCGACATTTAAAGAGCACTTTACACGTGCCGGGAATCCCGTCCGTCCGCCTCTTTCTCTTTCCCCTCACCTCTGCATCTCTCTCCCTGCTTCCACATCTTTCTCCCCATCTCCCCTCCTCTCTCTCCCCTCCCTGCCAGCACACATCTCCCCCTCCTCTGTCTCTCCTGCTCTCTGTCTCCCCCCATTTTCCTCGGAGTGGAAGAGTGAGCGAGGGCTGGCCAGACACTCACCTCTTCTTTCTGGGGGCCGATGACACCGAAGTGCAGCAGGCAGAAGAGCGTGGTGGCCCCTGCCACGAGCAGGAAGGAGAGGAGGCTGAGGAGCATGCAGCGCCTGGAGCTCTGGGGCCCCCCTGCTTTCTTGGGGAGTGCCTCCTCAGCCAGATGCACGTCGAGGATCATGTTTTCAGTGCTCATGGTGTCCTGGCCCGAGGGAGACGGTAGAGCAGGGCAGTGTGCGGGAGAGAGCCTGCGAGCCTGTCTGAGGGCTAGCCCAGGGGCGAATGGGGTACTTTCCTTCCCTCCTGGCTGGTCCCCTGGTGTCCTCGCTCAGGGAGCTTCTGCTGGCTGCTGTGCAAACAGCTGCCTTTTATGCCCCTGGGGTGAGAGGAGGGCGGGGAAAGGCTCTCATTCAACCAGCGGAAAACTTCCTTGGTGGAGAAACCCATGAGCTCATCTGGAGGAAGCGGTCGTGGGCCCTGCACCTTGTCTCGGTTTCTTCTCCATCGTGGAGGCGGGGGCTGGAAAGTCGGGGACACTGGGACAGCAAGGATGCTCCACCCTCCCCTTTTGGATTCCAGGGTGGGCTTCCTGAGCCGGTTACTGGTGTGGTGGGGCGGGGGGACCTGCAGGCTAAACCCCACCTCACCCCAACCCCCAATGCCTAGTGTGCCCATTTCTTTGGGAGACCAGGTCTGTGGCCCGTTGCCTCCCGATTTCCAGACAAGACTCCGTGGGAGCAGAGGTAGGGGTGGACGGGGCTTTAGGACACGGAAGCCTTGAGGAGGAGAACACGAGGTGTGGGGGCCCCGGGGAGAAAAGGAACTGGGGGAGGGAAGCTGGAGACTGGAGGGTGCATGGGGCCTCTGGGAGGGATAAGCCTGGGACAGCCCCAGAGGGGTGAAATCGGCCCTGGAAATTCACGGACTCCTCGGGCCAGGCCTTCTCCTTTCATTCTGACCCAGGACTCACTGCGCTGGTTTCAGTCTCAGCTTCCAAGGGACTCTCGAGTTTTCATGAAGTGGTCCCCCCACCCCGAGCCCCGACATGACACTGTGTCTCCTCAACTGTGCTGGGATTCTCAGCCCAACCTTGGACGCGCTCCCGTTCCCCAGGCCACCGTGCATGGCCGTGTCCCCCCGGGGGCGACCCCACACTCCACCCTCATAGTCCTGGACCCTCTGGTGGGTCACTTCTCCCAGAGACCCCCGGTGACCCTCCTTCCCCAGAGCTTCTGCATGAGGCCAGGTCTCCCTGGCAGCCTATGGCGCCCGCCCCTGCAGACCCTGGACCCCAGTTTCCCTTCGCCTCTCAGCGTCTCCTGTGGCACTGCTGCAGCAGTCTTGGCGGCCACATCCCCCTGGTCTGCCACAGCTCACAATTCTGCTCCCAGGTCCTGTCCCCTCTGAGGCCTCTGCTCCTCCTCCGTGGCTCACACAGACCTGGGTAATTCTCCCCTCCCAGACACACAGACATGGCAGGCAGCACTCAGAGGAAAGAGGTTTATTGGGCGTGACAGAGGGCACAGACGTCTCTGCGGGGGTCCTGGTCCAGGGTGGCTGGGCTTGGGGGCCTCCTCTCCCCGCTAGGCCCCTCTGCCCCGCAGACCGCTGCTCTCTCTGTAGGTCGGCCTTGAGCTGCTGTCTTCACCCCGCTCACCCCTTGGGCCCACTTCTCTCTCTGTTATTCCCCTTTCCATCTTCCATAAATAAATAATTTAAACATTTCTCTTTCATAAATAGTCCCCCTCCCTGCTTCCAGTCGGCCACCCCCAGTCCCCCACATGTCTGCTTCGCTTCCATGTCCAGGTTGAGGCCCCACCTAGACTGGCAGGACAGAGGGACGGTTCTGCGCTGGGAATTTCTAGACAGGTTTGAAATCCTCAGCCGAACATCCAGCATCCGGGGTGGGGTGGTTTGGGGAGGTGTGGTCCCCTGGAGTGCCTCGAATTCCTTCTTTGAAAGCTCTGGGTGACTTGAATGGGGAAGACTTGAAACTGTTGGAATGATCAAAGGAGAGGGGGTGGTGACCCCTGAAACTGTCAGAATGGAGGCAACAGAGGGGAGAAGGCCCTGAAACTTTTTTTTTTTTTTCTTTCTTTCTGGATTTTTTCCAGGCAAGTTCTACAGAGGCACAGACGTCTCTGCGGGGGTCCTGGTCCAGGGTGGCTGGGCTTGGGGGCCTCCTCTCCCCGCTAGGCCCCTCTGCCCCGCAGACCGCTGCTCTCTCTGTAGGTCGGCCTTGAGCTGCTGTCTTCACCCCGCTCACCCCTTGGGCCCACTTCTCTCTCTGTTATTCCCCTTTCCATCTTCCATAAATAAATAATTTAAACATTTCTCTTTCATAAATAGTCCCCCTCCCTGCTTCCAGTCGGCCACCCCCAGTCCCCCACATGTCTGCTTCGCTTCCATGTCCAGGTTGAGGCCCCACCTAGACTGGCAGGACAGAGGGACGGTTCTGCGCTGGGAATTTCTAGACAGGTTTGAAATCCTCAGCCGAACATCCAGCATCCGGGGTGGGGTGGTTTGGGGAGGTGTGGTCCCCTGGAGTGCCTCGAATTCCTTCTTTGAAAGCTCTGGGTGACTTGAATGGGGAAGACTTGAAACTGTTGGAATGATCAAAGGAGAGGGGGTGGTGACCCCTGAAACTGTCAGAATGGAGGCAACAGAGGGGAGAAGGCCCTGAAACTTTTTTTTTTTTTTTCTTTCTTTCTGGATTTTTTCCAGGCAAGTTCTACAGAGCAAAAGCTCCAAAAAAGACGCTGCTGGGGCTCAGGAGCAGGTGGGAGGTGCCGACTGTGTGAGTGGACAGCTGGTCTCCCCGAGTGAGCAGGAACACGGCCCCCTGGTACACCGAGCGCACCCACGGTCCCTGCGGCCCTGGGCAGACGGACTTCTGGGCGCTGAGGAGCGGCACGTGGTGCGGGTACTGGGAGGAGAAGAGCTGCACCCCGTGCGCCAGGTAGAGCGGGGTGGGGGCGGCCTGTGGGGAGCAGCCTTCCCCGGAGAAGACCACCTGCGAGTAGACGAAGTAGAGGCCGCTGCTGGGCACCAGCAGGGAGTTGTTGGTCAGCGCGAAGCCGTGGCGCAGGAAGGCGCGGTCGGTGCTCGCTCGCCAGCGCAGCGTGTTCTGCACGCTGGGGTCTCCTGGGAAGGGCGGTGGGGCGGGGGCAGTCAAGGGTCTGGGCCGGAGGCCTCAACCCCTTAGGAAGCAGGCGCTGGACCACTGAGTTCTGGGGTAGGCTGGGCCAGGGGGCGGGGTGCAGGGGGCGCTGGAGGAGGCGGGCAGAGGGCTGGGGCGCTGGAGGTCAGGTGCATATTTACCAACGAGGTGAGCAGCAGGCTTGAGGGTGCTGGGGGCCAAGTGCTTCTGGGGGTGCTGGTGGGCAGCCTGGGCCGCTGAGGGTGAAAGGTCAACCCCAGGGAGCGCCTAGGGGAGGACAGGGTTGAGGGCTCCAGGGCCTGGGTTAGGCTGCACCGCCCCAGCAGCCCCGGTCTCCTGCCGCGTCACC